GACACAAGTGATGGAAGCAGAGGATTGAATTGAAGAAATGGGAGTGCAACCCAGACTGTAAAATCTCTGGAGCTGTCTCATATTCATCCTCTATCTGTTAAAGTGGTTCATTTGTCACAGGTCAAATCTTAAGGGTTGCACTGAGACAGAAACAAGAAAGATCCAAATATAATTAACAAATTAGTGCCAGGCCCAGCTCAAGAACTTGGGCAGTGCAGGGAAAACCCTTATTATTGGAAAAGAACAGGATGAAACTGTATTCTCTAGAGTAACCATTATCTCCAACCCTCTTGTCTCTTTATAAAACCAGTCCATGGAAGTGGTCAGGGTTAAAGTACAGCTCATTCCTGGGAGAAGCTGCATCTCCCAGGTATAGCAACTCCATTTATAAAAATCTCTGACTCTGAAAACTGTGCTTGGACTTGGAGCTTTCACAAGCACTGAATGCAGGAACAGAATGTGTATTGGGGAGAATTTGTGGACACTAAGGACACATTGACCATGAATACCAACATTAAAAATATCATCAGGAAAAATGCACCTGGAAATTGTGAGATCTGTAAATGCAAGGTCAAAGAAGAGGATTTTTGTAGAGTGCATCTATCCAAGCCTAAGAAAACACAGTGGGATTTTTAATGTTAATAGGGCAGAAAATTCAAACGTATACTACAGTCTTTGACCCAGTTTTGGGTGCTGCCAGTTCTGGGCTCTCTGCTTATAAATGCAGTATTTCTTACCCAACCCAGACATAACTCTTCCAAATTCATGCAGGGATAACACCTCCTCTGGGGTTTGTCTCATCTAGGAGAAGACACTGTGAGGGACTGTAGAGAATAAAAGAATTTAGATACAAAGAAATACCCTTTCTTGCTATTTTTTCCCACATCCAACAGATCACGCCTCAACACGGTCACAGAAAGGTCTGTCAGGATGTCAGCTGCTTTTATAAATCCCTTCCTAAAAGAAACGAGCATGGCAACAGCATTAGGGAGACAGGCAAGAGATGATCACAGAAATCTGTGGAAGTTTTACCATCCAGCTATTTCCTGGTCTAGCAAGAGGAGCAAAACTAACTGGAAATTGTGTGTATCAAGGCAGCTGCCAGATGCCATGCCAGCCTCTGGAGCATATTGCCCAGCATCCTTACCAAGCTTTCCAAACCTCAGCAAACTACATCCCTTTGGAACCAAGTACTCCTGCCTGAGTCCTGATCACACTGAACCCATTTGCACGCTGAAAACACAAAATTCTGCTAAAACAATGTTTTCTGAAAACCATTGCAAATTCCTTAGCTTCCACCCAGAGAAGGAACTCTTTGGGCCCTCAGGAGGAGATCTGGACTTGCAGGATTCATCCCTGAGCAATGAGCCCTGCAGAGCAGGCTCCTCCTTCAGCCTGTGCATGCTGCTCCTGCTGCCTGGGAATGAAAGGGCTAAATACACGCAGCTTCCTTTCACCCATGAGCCAGTGAAAGCTGCAGTGAAAGCTGCAGAGCACTAATGTGTGTGTTTATCTAAAGCTTCTGATGTTCTCTGTGTTTTTTTGAAGGAGCTTGGTTAAGATGTTTTTCAAATTGGGCTATATTTTTCCCTTTAAATTAATGAGAGTTAAATCCAGTTGGCTTAGCTGCAATTTGCACACAGGTAATTGAAAAGCACTGGCACCTACAAACCTGTCCCCCTTGCAGCATTACATGCACCACAGCTTAGCCCAAAATCTGCAAATATTCATTGGAATTCAGAAGTAAATTCAGCCATATTTGCAGCTGCTTCACAGGCCCTTTCTGCAAATATTTGAACACTTGTACTTTACTGGTACAAATGCTGGTGAATAAGGAATTTTAATTTCAAATAACTGCTGAGCTCAACGTGCTCTGTTCTCTTTTACACCATGGTCTGTACACCAACACTTGCCTAGTGAGATGCGGCAGGAAACAAGCAGCACTCTGTGACTTCTAAAATTAACAGTATGGAATCTAATACGAAATATTTACACACTCATTAACGTGGAAGGTTCACAGCACACCATAGAATTAAAAAAAAAAAACCAACCCTGTGGGACCCTTTAAACCTTACCTGTGGGAACACTAAGCCTCAAAGAGCTGGAATGAGAGGAGGCTCTGAGTATTTGTAAGGACTGGCACAGACATCCAGCATTTTGCACAGTCTGAACAGGCTCTGTGAGAATTTCTGCTTAATAAATGGGAATATTCAGCAACCCAGCTCTCACTTTCATGAAAAGGGAAAGAGGACAAGACACCTAGATTATTCGTTTCTTTAAACATCTACTAAAGGCTATTTTGACTCAGACAAGATGTTATTCACTTCCATATTTCAGCAAATTATACGATTAAGAGATAATATAATTTGAAAATATTTGGGATTTATATTCCTTGTGTTTAATCTTTACTAAATACATTAGAAAGTGTTTCTAGCCGCAACAACAGTGTGGGATCTCTCTAAGACCTTGTCAAGTGGCAGAGAACGATAAAGCCTGTTGGCTCAAAATGAACAGCCAGCTTCTCCCTCGGAGAGCTCACTGTGGTGAAAAAGGTGCATTTTGGGAGCACCTTCTTTGCCAGCCAAAGTCAGACTTGTACTTTGCTGACATCTCCTGCCATATGTAAATTTTTACCCAGGACTCTTCTCTGACAAAAAATAGCTGTTCTTCACAAAGTAGAAGCTTCAGGGCTGGAGAAGATGGTTCATAATAAATTAACCTAATCCATGTAAAAATGCTGTAATTTATGTAAAATGGCCCAGTGTAATTTTTGAGGATCTCCTCTCCCAGTTACTTCAGTCCTGTGTCTCCAGACAGGCGTCAGAGCTCCCAGGACATGCAGTTTTCTCCTGCACATCTGCCTGTGCTGCCCTGGGCTCTGTTTACCCTTTGTTTGTTGTCTCCTGGCAGGATGTGCTGAGGCTGGGGAAGCTGCAGGCAGCCCCCAGCCAGGCACTCATGGGGCATCAGCCCAGGAGCCATTGCCATAAATTCATGGGTTTGTGTCATTTTCACTGCAGCTCACACCTGAGGAGCTGTGGAGTGGGAAAGAGCAGGGCCATGGTGCTGCAAGAACTTCTGATCTTGAGCTCTGCCAGTGATCTCTTCAACATAACCCGAGGGGTTCCTCCTCCAGTGGTGTTCTTCCTTTAAAAAAAGCCCACTGACTTCAGAGTCTTGTCAGAGAGCGAGTGTGCCCTGCCCAGCGCTCTCTGAACTGCGCCTCTGAGGGAAAAACCATTTCAAGACAATGGAATCTTCTCATTCCACTAATACTCAAACTTCAGGCACAAATCTGTCCCTTACTTATTTGCTTTATGTACTATTTCCACTTCAGAAAGTTCCCACGTTCCCATCCTAAAAAGAAAGACGTTCTGAAAACACCACAAGCTCATTTTGTGGTTTGTTAATATAGGTGCAGTATAAACAATGGATTTGGGGATCCTGCAGAGGAAGAGCCCATGTTGTATATAATCATGTTTTAATAGACTCTGTTTGTAAATGGATGAGTCCATACAGGATCAGGACTTTTCCATCCACGCAGAGCTGTGTGGGTAAGGGATGTAATTTTAAAGTCTGCCATGAAAACTGCTGCCTGCTGACCCAGTGGTCACCACCAGCCTCATTAAAGGCAACCATCCCTTTCCTCAAGCTTTCCTTCTGGCTTTTCCTACAGATTTCATGGCAAAGCTCAGCCAAGCAGACATAACAGCATGGAGAGCTGTGTTAGCATGGATAATGCAAACTTGCCCTGAGCTTTATTTACACAGTGCTGGGCCAAATTTCAGGGAATTGGGAGTTTAGCGTTTAGATTTTATCTCCTCTACAACTCAGCTGAAACAACCAAATCTAATCTGTGTGCAATGACCTCAACCCAACATTAAGCTTAAGACAAACATGTAATAACGGGACATCACATGTTAGTTAATGAACTTTAGAGAATTTGACTGAACTCAGTAGGTCATCTCAACCCCTGCATTCTGTTCCTTTTGGGCCAAAATGGTGAGGAAAAGTCCCAGATAGATGTTAACTTTTTCACCCCAAATCCAAGAAGGTCTGACCCACCCCAGCCTCAGTTCAGCACTCGCACATGGTGTTGAGTGATGTCTTTTATCAGTACATGGGGGTGCAGGCTCCAGCATTCCCCCCCCCTCCTCTCCATGCCCCACAAAATCCCTCTGCACCCTCTCCCTTATAACCCCACAATATCCCTTAATATTCCCCCACCCAACCCACAGTCTCACACACGTGTTCTTGCATCCTCCCACATCCTGCTTCATGTTCCCTACAACCCCTCCAGCCCCCATATCTCCCTTCCCATCCTTCCATCCTCCCTGCATCCCCCTCCAGCCTCCTCATCCCCTGGCCACGCATCCCCTCCCACCCCTGCATCCTGCATCCCCTCCACATCCCTCAGTACCACCCCCTCCACATACCCCTGCATTGTCCCACAGCCCCCTGCATCCCTACTCCCCCATCATCCCACATCCCCCCCACAACTCACAGCCCCCATATTTCCTCTTGAACTCTCCCACATCCCCCACCGTTCCCATCAAACTCTCACCATCCCACTGAACTCTCCCATCCCCGTCCCCGCTCCACCCCCTCTGCACTTCCCACCCTCTGGACAGGAAAAGGCAGCATCAAGTCTGTGCTTTAGGGTTTTTCTTTTTGTGAGAAGTGCCCACAAAGATTGCTCTAGGATGAGATTTTTCTTCCAGAAGGGCAGAGCAGACTTCCCCTTGCCTGCAGGTGTGAAGCAGGGAGTCAGGGCAAGGCCACCGCCCCCCAGGGTGGGACAGCCCCTGCAGCCCCTCACAGCCCCATCCTGGGGTCTGCTCTGCTCCTGGCACAGCAAGAACTGCCTCTGAATAAACACCCATGGCATCCATCTTCAAACCCCCTTGCTCCGTGGAGCTATACTTAAATTGACATTGATGAAAAAGCAGAACTTTTCTCAGGTCTCTTTGAGATGCTTCATAAAAAGGGAATTTAGGCTGTTTGAATTGGAAACTCACCTTAAATGGATTTTTATTAAGAAAACCATCAAAATGTTTGCTGATTACCTGTGACCCGAGTAGCAGTCAAACATGGAAGGACCCACTTTTCCAGCCTTCAATCTACACCCTTCTACTTTGTTTGAGAGAAAACACATGCTGTTCTACCTATACAGGTGTAATTAAAGTGTGGAGTTTCCCAGTGTGGATGCATTTCTGCCGGAATTAATGTGTATAGTAATACAGCTTATTTACACAGACAGAGAATAACCATCAGGTGTATGAGCTACAAATATCATTTCCTGGCCCTGTATTACACAACACTGGCAAATCACCCTCGCAGCTTTTCCAGCCACTTTGGGGTGCGCCGAGCGAGATCATTCCCACAGGCAAAACACGGCTCTGAGGAGAGGCTGCAGCCCTGAATGAAATGAAGTCATCCAGATCTTCCCCAGGGCTCCTGCTGGGCATCTCGGAGGGTCTGGGCTGACCCAGCTCTGCTGCTGAGGCGTGGTGGGCGCAGGGATTGCCCATCGCAGCCCAGCAGCACCACACGGGCTCCTCACAGCTGTGAAAGGTAATTGGAAAGTGAAATGAGTATATGGACTCATCCGCTTACAAAACAGAGTCTATTAAAACATGGTTATGTGTTGCCCTGTTCTTTTAACATTTTTAAAGTTCTTTTAGAAGTTTTCTATGCCTTCTAATATTTACATATTTCTACTGGAGTTCTCATGCACTGTTCATGTAAATAATGATTATTTTACGTTCTTTGTAAGAAGAAAAAAATCAATAGATTGTTAGTTTAACCAGTGTGGTTAGAGGAGTAGTAGTTTCCTCCTCCAATCCACTGTCACTTTTGGAATTGCAAAGTCAGAAATAGAAGTTACTTCCTTTTACTCTTTTAATCTTAGTGTGAGCGCGTGAGTTATTTTGTGTCATAGTGCAACAATTATGTACAACGTGGGCTCTTCCTCTGCAGGATCCGCAAAGAAAACAACGGGAGAATCCTCCCGATACCACTGTCCAAAATCATCCATCAGCACAAAATCTGTGTGCAGGTGAGGCCGGCCGTGATTTCCTTGTGGTCACTCATGGGCCAGCAAGGTTTATCGGTGCTGGTCCAGAGGAGCCCCAGCTCGGCTTTCAAATGCACTGGAATATTATCGAGCACATTTGAAAGGGCTGCCACTGACGGAAGGTGGCATTCACCCTCGCTTTTCAAACAGAATCAGAGAATCTCAGAATGGTTTGGGCTGGAAGGGACACTAGAGATCATCTCATTCCACCCCTGCCGTGGGCAGGGACCACCATCCCTTTGAGCTCACCTCACTGGGACCCTTCTGCTGCCACTCCAGCCAGCCCAGCAAGCAGCCGACCTGAAGAAGCTGTGGGAAATTAAATTTTGACAGAAAGCAATACATAAAATCGTTTAAAATAATCGAAATATACGTGTGTGAGTGTACGTATATATACATATCACAAGAAAACACAAAGCAAACCAAGCAATAAAGAAATCCCATTAGTCAGGTATGTTGTCCGAGAATTCTAACAGGCTTCTTCCGTGCCTGAGAGGACCCTGGGTTTCGTTAGCTTCGCCGAGGAGGCGGGAGGGCTCCTCACCGTCTCGGTGCTGTAACCGGCTCCTCCCGAAGCAGAAATTGGTCATTAAAGTGGTGAGCAAAGCGCTGCTGGGCGGGGAGCCGGAGGTGCCGCGGGTCCATCCGTGCCCCCGCTGTCCCCGCTCCGTGCCCTCGCTGTCCCCGCTCCGTGCCCTCGCTGTCCCCGCTCCGTGCCCTCGCTGTCCCCGCTATGTGCCCTCGCTGTCCTCGCTCCGTCCTGCCGAGGGGAGGCCGCGCCACGGGCTCAGCCCCAGGCGCTACGGGGCTCTTGAGCATCTGCCAAGGCGAGAGAAGGTTCGCCCGAGCCCCGTGGGAGATTTTCCTGCCGCAGCGAAGCAAGAAAAAGGTTTACCTTTGTGTCCCATCGCGGGTGCGCGGCCGGCGCTGCCCCGGCACGGCGGGACCCGTGCGCGGACAGGGGCGCGGCCACCACGGCCACCCGGGCACGGCCACCCGGGCACGGCCACCCGGGCACGGCCACCCGGGCACGGCCATCCGGGCACGCCCGGCAGCACGGACCCCGCTCGGCAGAACCGCAGCTTCACCACAGCATTCCCAACCCTCTCTCGGCTGTCTACGAGGGAAAAACACAAATCAAAAAAATTTACTCTATTGAATGCTTCGTGTGCTTGGAAAAAAAACCCATCACCTATTTATCTGAGAAAATATGATCGCTTCTCCGTCACTTGCTCAGCTGTGAAAAGAAAATATTAACATTCTCTCGCAAGTGCACCTCGCTATTCCAGCCCGGTGTGTGACACCGGTGACGGACATAGCCTGTCGTCCTGTTAATTTAGGTTAACATGCCGGCCAATCTCTCTTTTGATTAAAACCGGGTGCTGTTCTCAGGCGCAATGAAAGCACCAGAAACAACAGCCAGAGGTGACAAGGAAGTGACAAAGCCACACGCCCAGCGTGTCCTGACCCCGCCGAAGGGTCCCGCAAACCCCGGCTCTGTCAGCCCCGCCGCCGCTTTCCCTCTTCCCAGCATCCATCTTCATGCCCAGGCTAAAAAAAACATTTCCAGCCAATTGCTTGGTTAAATATCTAAGTCATTTCAGTGAAAGAATACGAGTCTGTTTCCTTTTATTCGGCACTGGCCGTGTCCTCCACCGCTCATCCCGGGGGCTGATTTAACCCGGGATGGATCCGGGGCACCTCCCGAGCCGGGCCCTGGTAGGCAGCGAGGCCGGAGCCGTGGAGAGAGAAACAGGAAAAGTGGGAACGACCGGCAGGAGTTCAGCGCCGATTCACCTGGAGGGCTCCGAACGGTTTGGGGTTAAAGCCCGGCGATGCTCTGTGCTCCGCTCCCACCGGGCCGCGGGCTCCGTACCCTGAGCGCGGGCTGGAGCCTCCAGGACAGGCGGTCCCGCCGGGGCAGGGAGGCACAGATGAGCCCCGAGCCGCGAGTGCTAATTACCACCGTTAATTGGGAGGCGGCCCCGCAGCAGCGGCTCAGCCCGGGGCTGTCCCGCCGTTCCCCGGCCCTCACTCTCCACCTCTCGTTCTCCCCTGCGCTGTTGCTTTTTTCTTTTCTTTTCTTTTTTCTTTCTTTCTTAGCAGAACAGCAGTAATTGCATGTCTCGGTGGATGCTCTGCAGTTTAACATCCCAACGGAAAACGCGTAGAAGAGACTCGGGGAAAATAAGCGAAAAAAATAAAACAAAATTTAAAAAACCCCACCCGAACAACAAAGTGCCAGGATTTCATACTAGGATTTTTGCTGCTACATCGCAGCAGCACACGAAGAGTTTTTAAAATAGTATCATTCAGGATGCACAGTGCAGAATTTAATTAGCCTTTTGTCACCAACTAACATATCTTTAAAATCCGAAAGCATCCGATTTTGATCAAGGAAAGACCGAGGGTCTTGGCCTCTCCCGGCCACGGGCAGCCGAACCGTCGCGGAAAACGATGGGAGAATCCTCTCGGTACCACTGCGCTTTGCACTTTCTCTGTAGACCTGCCTGGAACTTGGTTTTGAATCTCTAACCTGCCCCCGTGGGGGAAAAAAAAAACCCAAATTAAAAAAAAAAAAATCAACCCCAAAGCATTACGATACTCAGAGCAATAGATAATAAAATATTTTATTGAAATAAAGTAAATATCTTCGCATTAATAAAACTGATCATAAAATGCAGTTTTCGAATAACTAGGGGCACCACAGGGTTTTAGACAGCGAGCAGATGTGGCTGGTGGGTTCCAGTGTCCTGCTGGCCCCTCGGGCCGCCGCACAGCACAGCGATTGCTCTGCGGCGCGGACAGGGGCGGCGGGGCGGGGGAGACCGGGATGCGGCAAAGCGTCCCGACGTGCCGAGGCCACTGTGTGAGCCGCCCTCCATCCTCTCAGGCCGGCGGGGCGGGCCCCCCTCACCCTCACCCTCACTCCTCCTGGCTGACCTCGGCCGCCGAGCCCACGCTCTCGGGCGGCTTCTCGGCGTCCCGGGCGCGCTCCTGCTCCGAGAGCTGCTCGCTGCTGGGGATCGAGTTCTTCTTCGGGCGACCCTTGGGCTTGGTGGGGGACTCCAGACCGCCCCCCTGCAATACCTGCGAGGCGAGGAGGGGGCGGAGGAAGGGGACACCCCGGCAAAAACGAGCTGCCATCAGCCCGCGGCGCAGCAGCCCCTCTCTCCCCCGTCCCCCGGAGCGAAGCTGCCGATGCGGGTCCTCTCGGGCTGCGTCCGCCGCCCGGGGCAGCGTACCGAGCGGTACAACGGAGGGCTCGGAGGACCGGGAGGGAGGGCTGGCCGGGGCCCGGGAGATGCTGGACCAGGGGCACGGTGTTAAAGACCGGGGGCATATTATTATTACCGTCACGGTCATCATTACTATTATCCTTAACGTTATCGTTAAATATGCCCGGGCCGATATGCAGAAGGACGAAGCCCGCAGGGCAGGACTCGAACGCAGGCACGGCGCGCACAGGGGGAGGACTGTTAATAAGGGGCACTTACTATTTTCTTCCATTTCATGCGCCTGTTCTGGTACCAGGTTTTCACCTGGAGCTGGCTGAGCCCCAGCGATTCGGCCAGGTCTATTCTGCGGGCGAGAGAGAGATGAGGTCAGGCCGGCAGCTTTCGTCTCGGATGGCAGCTTCCCGACTTTTTCAAGCAAAATGAGCCCCGTCCCGTGGCGTCGCGCCCCGGGTCCGAGGTCGGCCGTCGCCTACCTGTCGGGCGTGGAGAGGTATTTCTGCTTCTCGAAGCGCTTCTCCAGCCCCATGAGCTGCAGCTCGGTGAAGACGGTGCGGCTGCGGCGGCCCTTCTTGGCCTTGCCCGGCTCCGGGGGGCCCGGCTCCAGCTTCCCGCGGAGGTGCAGCTCCAGCGGCAGATGCGGCGAGGCGGAGCCGCCCTGCAGCCCCGAGCCGGCGGCCAGCAGCGCCGAGCCCAGCCCCGAGCAGCCCAGGGGAGCCAGCGGGAACTTAAACACGGCGGCCGGCTCCGCCTTCAGCACCGCTGCGGGAGAGAGCGGCGGTCAGCGGCGGGCAGCACCAGGGACCCCCGGGGCTGCAGGGTGCCGCGGCTTCCCGGGCAGCAGCCCCTGCAGGGAACCCGGGCCCCTTCTCCTCCGTTCTCGGCACCACTGCGGGTCCTGAGCCCCCCGGTTCCGCCACCTCCGCGGTGCAGGGACACGTTTTGCCCTTCAATCAGCACATGCTAATCACGGAGTTACTTGGGGGTTGCAAGTGAAAATTATTCAAACCAACCCAAAAGCGTTCCCCTGGTGTCATCCAACAGCTGCCGGACCCGACTAAACTCGGCGACCAGCGAGGGAGGGCACGGTCCCAGGATTCCCCTCCTAGGAGTTTTCAAGATATTTACGACCCGATGATAATTTCTATCCCACTCCGTGAAGAGCAGCCTATGAAGGGGTGCCCGGGCAGAGGACAGCGAGCCATCCCCGAGAATGCTGTTTTAGCGGGCTGGGGCTGCCGCTAGACCGGCTCGATTCGCTTCTCCCCGATCCGGCCCGGCGCTGCTCGGCTCGAATCCCTGGCCTGGCTCGGCCCGGCCCAGCTGGGTCCCTCCCGGCGCCCCCGCTCCTCTCCCCGGCCTGCGGGTGAGCTGGGGCTGCGGTTCTGCTCAGCCCAGCCTCCCCGCCAGCCACACACGAGAGACCTCGCGGCGGGGGAAGGACTTTAGGGGAGTCTCTGCGCGGTTTTCTCCTCTGCCTGTCTGAAATCGCCTCCCTTCCTACACGGCCCGATCCCGCTCCCACCTATCCCTGCGGAACTGAGCCTGAGGGGTGTAAAGAGCCTTTTATCTGATCCGTTATTCCGAACAGCTCTGAATAGTTCATCTTGAAAATAATACTAGTTTCTAGATATTCTAACGCATATTGCTCCCTTGCTCAGGGGCTTGACGCTTTCTTCTTTTTCTCTTAAGTGCAGAAAATGAAACTGGGATACTCCTTTTCTGTTCAGGTCAATGGATAAAGGGCTACGGCTCCGCAGTTGAAGACGGCTTGGGAATAAAATCTTTCGCCATCACCCATTTAAATATTGGCCTTTAAAATATATTAAGTAATGGCCTTCAAAATGCATTAAACATTACCGTTCAAAAACAAACAAACAAACAAACAAACGAAAAACCCAAAACACAAAAAAGAAAAAACCTGAAAAAAACTTCCCTAAACAATAACAATAAAAAAATAACAATTTTAAAAAACCCAAACCTATTTCAATACGTTAATAAACTGCATTTGTCCTAGATGCTATATTCGACTGGACAGAGAATGCTGGCACCCGTTTTAATAGAAAAACCCAAGCATGTATTATAATATGGACAATAATGCTATGTCTTCCATCTTCTATATTATTATTATATAAACATAGCCTATATGTATATATTGTATATAATATCTCTGTATATTATATATTTTTATGTTTACACCTAAGTCGGGTTTCCAGCTAAAACAGCTCAGACCGCAGGGCCTCTGGCCGCTCCTCGCCGGCACGCACAGACCCCGCTGCTTGGCTCCAGCGGTTCTCTCCTCATCCAAAAACACGGGGGAAAACCCAAAACCAAAACTATCGACAATAACCTTCTTCCCTGAAATCCAAACGCCATTCTGTACAGAGGCAGCTGGAGCCACAAATCCGCTTTCTTCGGTTTTAGGCCCCAAACTCGCGGCTGGAGCGCCCGCGGCGCGGCGGGAGCCGGCGGGGATGCGCACGGCCGGCAGAACCCCGCAGCAACTTTCGTAGGCACAATTCCTAAGTTTTTCTCCAAGGAGCCCGGCTCCCAAAGGCGCTGGAGACCATCGGCGGGCAATGCCTCCCGCCTGCCGCCCCCAGCCGCCCCCCAGCCGCGGGGAGCCCCCCGGGACGTACCGAGGTGGTTGTGGTAGGGCCGGGCCGAGAGCAGCGCCTGCACCCCGAACTTGAGCAGCTCCCCGGCCGGCGCGGCCCCCTTGGCGTCCGGGGGGTCGGTGAGGATCTCCTCGATCATGAAGCTGCGGTAGCGGTGGGAGCGGTGGTCGGGGAAGGCTTCGGCCGGGAAGTAGCGCGCGGCGCCCAATTCCAGCGGGTGCTGCATCCTCGCCGCCCCCGGGGCGCGGGGGGACCCCCGGCCGCCGGGGCCGCCCTAGCGCAGCCCCCCGGCCGGCAGCCGGGCAGCGG